TCTGATCTTTAGAATGATTTCCAAAACGCACAACGTCACTGAAAAATGTTTTCAGTTCTTCTCTGCCAATGTTGAACAGCATAACATTCTTTCATTAATGTAACAAACATATGAAAAAATAACCAGAAATTATATGGTGATAATAAACAACAAGAAATACTCTCACTCAGAAAACAGATAAAACATAAATGATATCTGATTAACCACCTCTTGTCAGCAGCAGCAATTCTCAGGAGCTCATCCATATCTCTAGATATTAAAGTTTGCACCCCTTTTGATGGTAGCACCACCTCCTTCAAATGTCTGACATTATCCTCTGAAAGGGATTGCATCAGGTTGGCACCCTTGACAATTGTGTTGGCAACTTCAAAAGCCAAAATTGAAATTGTATTCTCTTTCCTTGACATTCCTGAGGTACCAACAATGGAGGTCAAATTTGTCATGCTGCTACCAAGACTGTCCAAAAATTGTATAGCCTTCCCAAACCCAGTGATGCCAGCTTTGCCCAAAAGTGAGCTTACTTCTGAAACCTATAACACAAGAGCAACTTATTAGTCTACTCAACAACTTATCTGTAACATTTGGAACATTTATATCAGAACCAAAGATTGCATTCTATATTATTATGCGTTAAGGACATTTTGCATTTCTAAGAAAAGACAGTGATAACAGTATGACATTGTAGTTGGTAGGTCAAATTCAAACTGTTTCGCAATGTTTTATACAATAAGGAGGCAGGGGAGGCTTGAACATGCAGTTTCAGACATTCACAGAACCCCACGTACATTTGCTTTGATTTCCTAACTATAGTTTAGAGGCAAATATTAATCATCATTTTCACGTACAATAAATACCAGATGTTTTCTGAGCAATTGAGTTTGTTTTTTCTTTTAGAAGAAACATTTTTTATTCAAAGCAAAAGCTATGTACAAAAACATGGATGAGACATAAACAAGCCATAAAACAGGGATGAACTAACCCTTTGATCTGCTTTTATAAATTTAAATAGAGTAAAGAGAAACTTAATTAGAACCATGTGTTCTTCGTATACAAGAGACAGACAGAAACACCAAACTAAGGCCTAAACTTAGCTGAATTAATGATCCTCAATAGTGGGTTAAGAAGGATTAAACAACATGCCAGTGGTAAGGGGTTAAAATTCGACTTCAGGTTAGACACAAACGGATCACATTCCAAACATCACTAGACCCATGCCACCAAAACAAGTTCCTCTTCTATGATTTCATAAACGGAAATTAATGTTACCATACAGAACTTCTCAAATATGTACCGCCTATTGGCCA